TCCAGTATTTTCTTAGCCATATTTGTTATTTAGTTTCCTTTTTTAAATTTTGGCTTATTTTGTTTTGAGGATATGCTATTGATAATTTATCATAGATTTTGAGAACAACGACTATATTAGTTTTCTTGGCTACCATAACAAAGTACCACATACTAGGTGGCTTAAACAACACAATTTATGGTCTCACAGTTCTGGAGGCCGGAAGCCTGAGACCAAGGTGTTGGCAGAGTTGGTTCCTTCTGTGGACTGTGAGGGAGAATCTGTTCCATGCCTCTCTCCTGGCTTCTGGGGGTTTGCTGGCAACCTTGGGAGCTCTTTGGCTTGTAAATGCATCACCCAGATCTCTGCCTTCATCTTCACATGGTGTTCTCCCTGTGGGCTTACCTATCCATTTCCAAATGCCCCTATATTATAAGGATGCTAGTCATATGGGATTAGGGCCCACTCTACTGACTTCATTTGAACTTGATTACCTCTGGAATAACCCTATTTCCAAATAAGGTCATAGTATGAGGTGCTGGGGGGGAGGGGTTAGGACCTAACATGTCTAATGGGGGGGAACAACCCATAACAGTGACCTGGAAGAGCACTTGTGTTTGTCATACCTCTTGGTTTTAATTATCAACATTGGTACATTTAAAGTATTGTTTTGGAGGAGGTAGTGTGGGGAAAGTTGGCTTTTGGGAGATCATATCAAAGGGAACAACTAGTTCTATATTATTTTGTGACTGCTATTGCTTAGACAGACTTTGATTTTCCTTTTCTTTTTCTGTAGAAACTAAAGTATTATAAGTTCTGGATGTTTTTCAATGTATGTGATAGTGATAGTTTTCAGAGGATTCAATAATACTTATACTTCACCTATTTCATGTCTAATTTGGTTTAAATTTCAATGGTTGAAATTCTTATTAATTGGCAAGTTAACTGGGGAGACAAGAATAAACCAGGATACCATATGCCATGGTGTGTAAGCAACTGCTTCAGATTGTAATTCCTTTTCTGAGTGCCTGGGGTCTTAGAGAATAATCACTATCTGCGTAGGCCAGGAAGAGATCATGCAGAACATAGAAGTCACCCTTCTCAGGGAGGATTCAGTATGTATTAGCAGAGATGGATTAGCCAGAAAAATGTTACTGGATGGTGAGTGCTTGCATCAGCACCGTTCCAGTATATATTTTAGCATCCAATAGATGAGTAAGGAATAAGTCATGTGATTAAATCCAAGAAACATCTATGGACCTGTAATTTGCCAGACACAGCTAATCCCTGGTGCTACAAAAATGAATAAGAACCAGTGACTGCCCTCCAGATGCACCCAGTCTGTGGGAGAATCAGAGCTGCAAACCTGTATGTAGTTCCAAAATGATAGGTGCTAAGGACCAAATCAGTACTATTTACTCTTGTATACGCAAGAGACAAAAGGGACAATTGAGCTGGAATTTGAAGAATTACTAAATTTGGGAGTAAATGTAAAGAGAGGATTATGATAGTTTGAGGAAAAAAAGATAAAGTGAACATTATTTGATTATGATTTTAGATTGTGAGTAGTAGCCAATAGAGGAACAAAGGTTGGAGATGCAGGGAAGAGAGTAATTGGTAGAGCAGTGCCCAACAGGAGAAGGGAGACAGTGGAATTTAGGGGTACTGGTGAGAGAAGAGCTTGCAACAGAGTTAGGAATTAGCTCTGAGATTGGAGGGACGAGACTAAATATTTCGTTCTCAAAAACTCCTGGGGATAATTGGTTTACTTTTATGCCCACTTTTTAAGAAAACACTTGAAGTAAATCTTTTTGTTTAGCCAGGCAACACAGGAAAAGTCAAATTATGAACCTCTAGAGAAAAGAGTGATGGCCTAATCTTGCATGTTTATAGGGGTGGAGAAAATGAAATCCATGTCACAGCTTGCAGTTTTGTCAAGACGGTGGAAGCCTTCGGAGATGAAGTTGGATCCCTTCCAGGAGGTTGTGTTAGAAAGCAGCAGTGTTGATGAGTTACGAGAGAAGGTAAGTTCATTTTAAGCAAAATGAGCTAGTACACAGCTTTCTGTGTTGCATGAGATAGCCTAGGAGTAGTGAGTGCCAAATGCTGGTGCGGCAACCTTTCTTTCTTTGTCTCTGTCACACCCTGTGACACCTTGTATCACACATTCTTGTTGTTTCTTAGGACTCCTAATGCCTTGAAAAATAACACTGGCTTCTGGCCATCCAGAAGTGGACCCTCACTTTCTTTTACTTGGATTATTTTGTCCTAAGTAGTAAGGAGTCTTTAGAAGTTTCCAGACTACAGTGCTGTATGTATTTTAAAAACCCAAAGAAGGTAGAACTGAATAGAGAATCCAGATGACGGTGTCTCTTAAATTTTTCATTTTAAAGGTGGGAATTCTGAGGATCTCTGGGAAAAGAGTGAATTATTTATAAGTAGTACTAGGACAGTCAGCATTTTGGAAAAATTTTATTTCCATACTTCACACCAAACACAAAACTAAATTCTAAATGTGTTAAATTTATGTTAAAAATAGAATAAAATAATAAATGTACCATATGAAAATATTTTTATAATCCTGAAGAGGGAAAGATAATTGTAAGCATAATACCAGAAGCTAAAAATGAAAAGATAGAGTACATAAAAGTTAAGTCTTCTGCACAGCCAAAAAAAGTTTAAAAACCCATCAACAAAGCTAAAAATAATAAGAGGGGAAAAAAATATTTGAAACATATGAAACACAATTCCATAATTTATAAGGATCTGCTCCATTAATAAAAAGATGAACAATCTAATTTTAAAATAGGCAAAGAATATGAATAGG